CCCAAAACCCCAAAACCCCAAAACCCCAAAACCCCAAAACCCCTGTTGTAAAGTTAAAAATTGTAATAATAAATTTATAGAAATAGAGATGAGCAATAAGAGGAAAGTTATGAATCTTAACTCACTTCTGATCGGAGCAGATGATAAAGTTAGCAAGTCTGTCTCAAGACCCAACTCTGCATTTACAAAGCCAACTATGAACAAGTTGTCTGCTTTCGAAACTCTTCAAAAGAAAGAAGACTCTAAAATATTCAGCAATATTGATCAGAAGCCAAAACAATCACAAAACAAGGTGACCCTGGGACTCTCCAAGCTTTTCGACAAAGCCGAGTGAATGGATAAAAGCACTGACAAAGCAGGAGATGCAATTATGCAGCAGAATGAGTTTAATGGGGCCCGTAGGCCGCAAACTGCTTCACACCACAAAAGAGCATCCAAATTCTCCCAGAAAGTGACGGTCAGCGACGACGCCTCAATGGACAGCGAGAGCCAGTCTGAGTATAGCAGCAGCTCAGAAAGCGACGAAGACATGCAGGAAGAAACAAAAGCTTCTCCCAATGCGAATATGGAGAGAATGGATACCAAAAGTCCTGCTGTCCACAAAAGAGGCAAAAACAAAAAGTGGAACCATGGCCGCGTCGAGGTGGTGTCGACTTCACAGCCAACAATCACTCCACAGATGAAAAAGCGATCCATTGCCAATCTCCAGAACAGGAACCATGGAGCCCATGGAGCGTCCGATTTGGATCAATTTCAGATGAAAAGAATTGAACTTTCTAAAGGAGATGGTAAAGCGAAGCCTGGCCGTAAAAAGAACTTGTTGATGACTCCATCGCAGACACTGGTGCCTTCTCGAAAGTTGCTCCGGATGAAGACAGTTGGTGTCCTCAACTCTATTACTACCAGTCGAGTCAAAGAAGAGCACGACGTCCAGAACCTCAAACCATCATCCGAGTTCTTTAGTCAAGACCGCATGACTTATGTCAACCAGCTAAGAGGAGATTTCAATGCCATGAAGCTGTGGAAGAAGAGCTTTGCAGACGCCATCAACGAAATCAAGATCGACAACAAAGAAATTCTGGACCGCATCAACCCTAAGTTCAAGAGACGCTTCGTGCAGGCTCCAGGGATCAAAACCAAAACAATCGTGTTCGGACTAGACGGAGTGCTCGTCAAAACCAACTTTGAGAAAGATCACGAAGACTGGAAACCGACTACTCTCATCCTTAACGAGGACACAGGAGCTAAAATTAAAATCTTTGTTTCTATTCGGCCATATGTTGTAAACACTTTGAAGCAGTTGAGAAGAGCCGGAGCTGAAATAATCTTGTACAGCACTTCCAAATACAATTACACAAGCGCCATTCTAGATGTTCTCAACAAACAAAGGATTGAGTTCCACCACATCATTACTGCAGAAGACCACGAAGAAGCTTTATGGACACCAGAGAACCCATCTCGCAAGATTGTAAAATCTAAATAACATCAACTTGCTTCTGCAGAACCGCAAAGAGCGAGATGTCATCTTTGTAGACTGCAAAGTAGAAGAATATGCTTACAAAATTACAAATGGAATCTATGTTCCACCGTACGAAGGGCCTCCAACTGCAGCCGAGACTCAAGGAGATGACTTCTTCATGTACCTGTTTGACTATCTCAAAGAGTTCGAGCAAGAGTTCGATGTACGCAACAAAATCGACAAAGACTTCAAGCTCAAAGAGTTGTTCAATCAGAGTTTCAAAAACCCGGCGTTAGATTAAAACTCAAAAGCATCCAGGCGCAGTCTCAGAACACTCGCGAGGAGTTCAAATGATCGACTCCGAAGCAGCAGACTTCATTCCGGCGGAACAGTCGCATCCTTCATGACAAAGAGGAACTCAAGAAACTTGCTCAGTTCCAGCCGGAAATCAGGATGGAACCTATTTCAGAATTTCCGGAGCCAGCAGAGTAATGGTTGGATGATCCAAGTCTGAGCTTATTAGCAGAAAAATTTATTAGCAATTTACCTATAATAATACATCTCAACCATAATCTCCTCTACAGGGGTTTTGGGGTTTTGGGGTTTTGGGGTTTTGGGGTTTTGGGG